TCCTATGACAATTATACCGAGTTTCCTCAAACAAACCCCCACCATCACCACCCCTATGTTCTGCTTGTTCATATTCCCTTTACCCTTTTCTCTGCTATTATCACTGGTATCTCTGCTTGTACTTGAAAGTAAAAAGCAATTCCAGATTACAGCCAACTCAATGGCCTTGCTCCATAGTATGGCCCCTGATGAAGAGACAGAAAATGGGAGAAGCACGAAGGACCATCATGGGTTGAGATCAGGCACTACCAGAAGCCCAACTTGTTTTTTAAAAAGAGGCTCTTAGACATGTTCCCAGCAGGTAAGTCTTGACTGGCTTGGAGAACAGGAAGGACTACTTCACAAACACCACGGTGTTTGAATTTCTAGAGGCCACTCAGGCCAAGAAGACATCCCTGCAGTGCTTCACCGCACATTCATTGCTGCGGTATTCGTTGTCCCAGTCCTTACTCACAACAGGAGGGTTCTCACAACCGGGTCTCACACGTCGAGGCTGGGGTGAGAGTGTCACGGGAGACCCACTCACCAATTCAACATCCATTTGAGAAGGAGACTCAACCTCAGGAACTACATCTGTGATTGTCTCACAGATTGTCTCAGGAGAGGTTTCCTCCACCATGTGGGCCTCAGGGCTGTTGTTCATAGGCCGCCCAGGACTACTTTCCACAGCTGGTGGGACTAAGGGCGTCTGCATTTTCAGAGTGGGTGGAGGCACAATCTTGATCTGCAGAGGAGGTGGCTGTTGCTGTAAACTGATCCGAACTTTCTGAGGTGGAGGCTGCTGCATGGCCTGCAGTGGGGGAGGCTGCTGCAGAATGGTCACTTGCTGCTGAGTGGGGGGCTGAGGCATCTGTTGCAGTGGAGGGGTTTGTATTCGGGGTGGAGGCAGGTGCATAGAAGCAGCAGCTGCTCCCGCTGCCTGCAACACTGAGCGAGTGACAATTTGGGCTCGTTGACTGGGCGGGATAGTGGCTGTACTGGTTTGGCCTCGTTGGACCCCCCGGGAGGTCACCACTGTGGCTGGGATAATGGTAACCATCCCTCCTTGAGACATAGTAATAGAAGAGGGCAACATCTGTTTGGTAATAATCAACTTGGTGATATTGGGCTGACTCCCAGCCCCAGAAGATGCCTGGTTTGCCACAAAGGAGGAAAGAGTGGAGTTAACAACAATGGACGGGGACAGGGCAGGGGGCTCTGTTGAGGCTGAGGCTGGTGCTGGAGATGCTGGGTCAACAGTAGCCATAGGAGGTGGAGAAGGAGTCTGGGACGGTGGCACTGGATCCAGTTCTACTGTTTCCACGGTGGCCTGACACTCTTGATTGTCTTTATATGCAGCCAGAGCCTTCAGATACTCTTTCTTGGCAGCTTCAGTTTTCCTCTTATACACCTGGTTTTGCTCCTCTCCAAGACTATCCCACATGGAGGCCACAATTTTTGAAACCTCCCAAAAGTGGCATTGGAATTCTGTCCCTTAATGGCAGCCTGTGTATCACAAAAGAATAAAGCATATGCTGAAACTGGCCTCTGAGGTTCATTAGGACCTTTCTTTTTTCTCTTCTTTGGGGCCTTCTGCTTTTTTCTTGCTTCCACCACAACTGTCTTCTGGCTGGGAAGTTGCCTCCAGAAATCCTCAACACCATCCTCATGAAGTGAACTAGTAGGTGAAGGGGTGGTTGAAAGATGATCCTCAGGTGACTGGGCAGGTGGCAGGATGGTGCCACCCCCTAAGCTCAAACCAAGTTGAGAACTCAGTTCTGACTGATCAGTGGTGGTCAACTGGCTATGCCCCATCAAGCCAGATGTCATGTCTGTCATTGGTACATCAATTGTAACAGGTGGGTTGGCACTATACTGAGTTCCTATAGAATGGTCCAAGTCCATGGTCAAGCCCCCACTCAGGAGCCCGCCGCCCTGCTCCATCAAGCCATGGGTCATGCCTACAGGCATGTCCAATGTCTGGACCCCATATTGGGCTGAAAAGCTGCCATCCTGAGAGGAGGAAGGGTCTGCCAGGTCATCAAAGTGGCCAACCACATCTGAGACAGCCAGTGAAGGATCAGAATCCAAGGAGATAGGTGGGACTTCAAATTCCTCATCTCCCAAGCTTGGTGTATGGAATGTCTCGGCCCCTGACAGGAAGGGGTGCGAGGGCCCTGTGATCGTCAGGTAATTGTCATTTCCTCTGGGAAACTCCATCTTCACACAACGGCTACCACCATCTCAGTTCCCTCATCGCTCCCACTGCCCCCACCCCATACATCATTAGTTTTTGATGTAGTGTTCCATGATTCATTGTTTGCATATAACACCCACTGCTCCATTCAATACGTGCCCTCTTTAATACCCATCACCAGGCTAACCCATCCCCCC